GCTGGCCACGGCGCGTGGCGTTGGCTGCCTCTGCGGAACCGAGCCACCGTGCTGCCTGGTCCGACGAGTTACGTCAGTGCGGAGGCTAGTGAATCGTCGCACGCCAAGCAGGCGTCATTGTTTCTCGTGGTACGCTAGAGACGTCTGCAAGAAAACGTGCATTTAGTGCGCTTTATGGCATGGGCAGCTGAACACGGGAAAGAATGAATGAAACAGAACGGAGAAAGAACAGGTCTAAGAGTTTGAATATAACCATTAATAAAGACTATTTAAATGAAATATTGGGGAAAAAAGTTGCATATAACGTGACAATTCCCTTCTGTTGCTCCAAGGTTTGAAAACTACCGACAGGCTTACCATTGTTGCGACTGTCCAGTGGCCAGAATTACCGGTCTTCGTGACGTGGAAGAGTGCGCCGCAGAGCATTGCGACACCGGACTTCGCCTACACTTCGCTCTCTGCCTGGAACTTACAAAATATAATACGTGTTTGATCTTTGAGTTGCAACACTTACGTGGACGAAAAACGGGCGTCAAAATTTCTCTCAAGAAGCTCTGTTCCCCGGTTGGTGGAGGTTGGTTTACGCGTAGATTTGGCCTTCTGTAGACGATGACTGTATTTCAAATGATGCAATTAGTAGAGAGATGAAGGAAGGCTATAGTTTGGGTAGGTGAGATATGTGGTAACGGTAGAAGGCAAATGAACAAACATGAATGAGAGAACTTACTAAAACGTATTTTCCTGGCGCTGTTTGAATGTTAACGTGCGCGGAGGGTGGCTGCAAAGACGGAAAGAAAATCGGATCTAGGATGCTTCTCTTGCTAGCGCGAATCGCCCACTGAACTGAATCGCATTGATTGCGAGACACATGTGAAGATTGTAGAATTGAGTGGGGTCCTGTATAATTTTATGTTAATCACAAAATTGTTTTCATTTTTACTTATTCCAGAATGAAAATGTCTTGAAAAAATGAAAAACAGTCTTGTTTTTGTGACAATTCAACTGTTTAAAGTTTTCAGGGGAAAGGGACATTATCCCTTATCTAATTAGCTGTCCGGGAGACTCCTGCCATCTCCCTCAGGGCGAAATGCGGGGAGGTGACTGCGCCAATGCGGTGAAAGTATCGGCCAATCAGGCAACGGGTCCATGGGCAGCGTGGAAGGCTTGCCGTCCTTGGTCAGACGTCACGGAGCAGCGGAAGTCGCATCCTGACGCGGACGGGCGTCGCGGTAAAAACGTTTCCAGGCCTCGTGTAGACGCAGGTATTGGCCGGCATTAAGTTTTGGTGATGTTTGATAATTTCCATACCTCTTGTATTTTAATACTTGACTGTCAGGGATGAGCCGCGTCACAGTGGGGATTTGTGAGCAAGCAACTCATCCTGGACAGCCAAGTATCAGATGACTGCTGCTGCAAAGGCCTACAAATCTACCTCTCGTACCCTCCTCGGCCCTCGGTGATCTTCCCTTGCCAGGAGGCAGTTATAAAGAACAATGGCGTGCCCAAATTTCCATACTTGGAGGAGTTCCTACAGAAAGCCTGCATAAAATTAATTTATATGTACACGTAATGCAATATGTAATCGTCTTTTCCTACACTTTTTATTGTGTATAGGCGCGGATGATTGTTTTCTGTATTTCCTGCGGTCGTGCACTCTTAAAGAATTAACCCAGTTAAAGCACGTGTCACGTGTGGGTCTTTAGTGATGGTGAAAAAGGTATTGCTTCTATTTGATAGCATCTAGTGAAGCGAGGAAGTCGCCTGCCTTAGAGCAATTCTGTCCGCATTCGTTCACAATGACATCAGGGTCTCGATACCACGCAGTTTAACTTTTAAAAGAAAGCATCTTTCTGAGCTGTTACGATTGACGAACAATGCAACGAAAGAGAAGGAAACGAGTGAATAGGCATATAGTTGAGTTTCATGTGTTATGCATCTCCTTTACACAGTAAGGTGCGTTTACACTGCGCGAGCGAACAACCGATATTGAACGAGCTCGTTCGTTCGGCGGATCTCGATGGAGACATTACTACCCGTTTACACTGTGCGAGCTTGCGCTCCGAACGTTTGTTCTGTCAGCCATCTTGTTCGCTCCTAGCGATAGCCCTCCCAAGTGAGGTTAATGTGTATCTGTAGTGGTTTATATAGTAGAGATCACTGCTGTTGTGCACTTGCGGTATAAACAATTTACTTTTCAGAGTAAAAAGAATAGATGAGCTACGAGATTTGGAGCTAATTCTTTTTGCGTGATTTCACAAAAAACAATGCTCCATGACAATAAAGCGGATTCTATATCTGAGAACTGGATCATTAATTGAAAATGAAAAATTTATTACTTTTATTGAATTTGATGGTTTCAATTGTAGTTCTTTATAAAGTTCTTACAAGAATGGGAAGAACTATGAATTTATTGAACGGCTCTTATTGCTTTTTACGTCTGTGTAAAGGTCACAATTTCTCCAGAAAATGTGAATTAACATTTAACAAAACATGTTAATTTACGTAAAAACTATTGTATTGAGCAGAAATGTCTCACTTGAAGCAATTAAATTAAAACAATAAAATTAACATATTCTCAACAAAAACTAATATAAAATACTTCATTACTCAAACAACAGCTTCATTAATATTACTACAGTGCGTCTTGATAAAAGTGAATTGTCTTTGGCGTCCGAAGTATTAACGTGTAATATTGAAACAAATTTTAAAAATATAATTAAAACTCGCAGATTTGTGTATTTTGTACTCTTCTCTTTCACTGCCTTTAAACTTATCATTTAAAAGTTTCATACTTCTTCTGTGCAAACTATATACTGGACAATTCGCCTTTATACTCACAAGACTGTTGCAATTAGCGCCATTCGCCAACGTGTTCGCAGGTAGAAAAGAAAATGTTCGACCACGTCCCGAACTTCTCAGCTCCGAGCTAATGTAGTCGCTCGACGTCTGCGTTGGTTTGACACGGAACGAACGTACCGAGCGAACATTCTCTCGCTTCCGTCACGGATCTCGTCCGAACGAGATGATTCGCTCGGGTGTTATGTTTCCACTGGCCGAGCGAACAAAACATTGTTCGGAAGCGTTCGCTCGCGCAGTGTAAACACACCTTACGAAACGAAAATCAAAAGTGTAATAATAATAATAATAATAATAATAATAATAATAATAATAATAATAATAATAATAATAGTGATAATGATAATAATAATAATAATGATAATAATAGTAATAGTTATCAGTCATCCGTCAAGAATTTCAAAACATTGGCTTCCACATATTTCTCTAATAATCAGGCAACAATAGACAATGAAAAAGGCGTATATGAATGAGAAAAGAAACAGAAAGTATGTTAAAATTGTCCATACTATTACCTTAGCTTTATGGCCACATTGTTCCAACCTAAGAACATATTTTATTTTTTTTATTATTATTATCCAACAGGCATATAATGCTTAAATACATTTCATATATACATAGGTTTATACACGCTTGAAGATTACAAAAAAAATTCGTCATAAAATCAGTATTGTCAATTGTTGCATATCTATCCAGTGAAATCTAATATGAGTTGTTTGATCATTTTAGCTATTGACATTGTATTTCGAGTCAAATCAATTTCATTCATATATGTATTGGTGATTCAGGCTAAACGTGGTATAGCAGAATTATAGAAATAGTCGGTTCTACAGTCAAATTCTCTCAGTAGAGTAGATCTTTGCATTGTGTATGGATAGTCATACAATTGATACATATTTCAAAGTGATGTACTTTTAATTTTTCCAGTCAATAATTTATTCATAAATAACACGTCGTGTACTATTCTCGAGGATGACAAAATTGGTATTTGCAAATAGCTAGATATTTCACTGTAGTCATGATTATACCTCGGATTAGGTTTTTTTAATTTGAAAGCTACACAAGAGAAGAATAAATGTTGAACTCGTTCTATCTTTTTGCTAAGATATTCAGCATTTGGTGACCAGACTGAAGAACAATACATCAATTTTGATTTGACAAGGGAATTATAAAGAGTTTTAATCATTTTCATTGATTTAAATTTATCAGTTTGTCTTTTAATAAATCCACGTTTTTTCAGTGAAGCGTTGACGATGTAATCAATGTGTTTATTAAAAGACATTTTGGTATACATGATAACTCCCAGATCTTTAATGTGTGGAACAGATTCAATTGTTGTATTTTGAATACTGTAATGTACTGTTACTTCAGTATGGCCACGATTACAACAAAGTAGTTTATATTTAGCTAAGTTTGTGTTCGTTACACCATGATATCATTCGATTTAGGTCGTTTTGAAGTAAACTAGCATCATTAACATCAGATATTTTACGCCAAATTTTGCAATCATCAATGTTATTTATCAATCTTAATCTCTTTCATACAGGAAATACACTTCTAAAATTTGGATGAGAAATGAACTAATTATCACTGTTGGAATAAGTGCCCGTCTTACATTGGAGCAATCTCTATGCAATGTGGTTTAAAGAACTTGGGCTAGATCAGGGCTTAATTATCAATCTAGAAATGTTTTGTTGATGTTGGTTTGTTGCAAGTTCAATATAATACAGAAAGTATATGTTTGACACATACTATTAGTTTTTGTCAATAAAGGAGCATACTTTTTTTCTTTTTTTTTTTAGAATTATCAAATCAGATATTTCAAGTTTTCTTATTGCCCTGATAATTTTTGCATTTTCGTTTTGTCAGTTAAATCTCCAATGAAATTATTAATAAATTCACTCTTTCTTGTTTACCACTTTACCACCTTCATTAAAATGTTACATAACATAACATATCATGATCATCACACCACCATTTTATTTTAATTTTTACCATACTTTTCTTTACCCGCTATGCTAGGCTCCATCTCTTCTGTTTGTTTTTTCTGACATAGATAGTCATGAATAACTCGTGTAATTAACATGCAATATAAAAATGTAACATTACTCCCCACATAAAATGTCTCTTTTGGAAAATCAAATTCAATGTTTAAATCTTTTAGGATCTTCTGCACCATTATCTGATAAACTTCGTTTTAAGTTTCTCTTTTTATAGAAAAGTTCCCAAGCTGCTTTAAAATAATCTGACTGAGATTTGTCTAAGTTTATTAGTCTCCATTTGATTAAATCTGTAATTTTTTTGTCTGTTACTGAAAAGGAACACAGAAACTCACTTGCTGGATCTAAAAAAAGCAGCTTATGATTAGCTAACATTGTCTTTATTCCTGCCTTTTTCAGAACGATACAAAATTCAGAACAAACTGTTAGTGCATCTGGATCATTTGATTTTTTGTCTAACATGCTTTCAATAAGGTTTATTGCTGTATGAAGTTGCTCAGGTGAAATGCTAACATGTGTACATTTTTCAGCACAGAAGTCAATAAAATATGTAAGCATTCGTATGATAGCCTGTTCATCAAATTTATGAAAATGATCACCTTTTAACAAATCAAGAATAGGTATTAAGAAGTGGTTCAAAATGTTTTTTGCATATATTACTCCCCAACCACTATTTCTAATATTAGGATTTTCTAAAGGGGAAATGTATATTTTTGACATCTCTAGCGTTAAAATCATAAAATATGTATTAACAAAAATCCCCTTTCTTTCTAACCATTGCAAATCTTTATCTTTATATAACAAAGTGAGAAACTGCTCAATACCCGCAATCTTTTTTGTACAAGTATGTTCCTCGGTATTGTGGAAGGATAATAATTCAACTATTTTATCAAAAGATAATGCTTGGTTATTGATGAATTCATGAATAATTTGAGCACAAAAGTTCAGTGTATTTTTGTTCATTTTTTGCTTTTGCTTTTGGCTTTCTCTGAAGTAGTGAAGGACTACTCTATTCATATTGAACTTCAAATATTCATTTAATTTCCACAACTTGGACTTACTATTAATTTTCATGAAGAATTCAAAAGTTCCTTTTAGTTGACTTAGATCCTTCTCATCTAGAAAGTGCATAATAAGAGAATGCATGTCATCAAGGTTTATATCATCATCATAATAATAACATGAACCAGAAGAGAACCAAGATATATGTGACTCGACTTTTTGTTGCACTTCAAGTAAACTCAAATCATCTTGAGCTCTTTTTGTGGAAGATGAGTGAGATACCTGTAATATTTTTTTACTTTCTAATTCATGCAAAAAATCACAACTTTTAATAAATGCCAATTTGGATTTTAAATTGTTGTTACCACTGTGCTGTATCATATTTTCTAGAAAATCACACATCTCTTTGTTCTGATCTCGAAAAAATTCTCTCAGAAGAAATGATTGTATTAACTCATATTTTGAATCACTTGTTTTATGCTGAAGGAGGTTAGTGAAGAAACAAGCTACAAAATATTCAGCAAATGTCTGATGAATAAAATTAAATGTTTCTGAACTGCTTGATGATTGTATGAGGCCAATGAGTTTCAATTCTTCAAGATCGTCAGGTAATTTCAAATTTAGAATGTTCAAAAGCTCTTTTGCTTGTTCACAGTTGGAATACAATTTATGAAAAGCAAGATGCTGATGATCCACATTAAAATTCTGTATTGCTATTTTTCTTATGTAAGCCGAGTTATTTGGTTCTGCAATTTTTTCATTGAAGAAGTTTTCATATCTTTTTTCAACAATTTTCTCATATATGCCCAATTTAGTAAGATTTTCTTCGCTGTGGACATATTGAAGAGTGCATTTCTGCTCTATTTCTGGTTGATACATTTCTGCAATTGACTTGATTAAAAATGGAATACTAAGTAAATCGTTGCTGCAGTGATTGAGAATATGGTTCTGGAAATTATTTACTTGTTTACTTAAAAGATTTTTGTTTAATTTCTGTGAGGCAGTAAATTTCATACTTGCATTCCAAAATACCTGCAAAAACTCTTTTTGATCTTCTTTAGAAAATGGCTGAAATGAATAAGAAAACACACTAAGGGAATTTTCTAATTTATCTTTAGCATTCAATCTAGTGGTTATTATGAGCTTTGATTTTGTGTCTTTTAAAACTGAAAGCAGATGAATAACCTTTTCTTGATTTTTACTTGTAATTTCATCAAACCCATCAAAGATTATTGAAATGTATCCTTCATTTTTAATTCGATTTTTTAGCATAATTTCTTCAATATCTGACAATTTTACCCCATTGTTTAAGAGCAAGATCTTCACAATTGGGTCAATGTGATTTGTACAAGAGTAATTTTCTAAATGATCTTGGATGTTCACTAAACTAAGCTTAATAATCCACTCATCTTTCTCAAAAGATTTAATTATATGAATTAAGGAAGTTGTTTTGCCTATACCAGGTTCTCCAGCTATTACAATGTGTTTTTCAGAATATACAATTTCTCTAAATTCATTTTCATTAATTACATACTTATCTGTCTCAGATATTAGGTCTTGTAGATGAATTATTCGACCTCTTGTACGTCTCCAAAGAAGCTTTCCGCTCCTGTCTTGCAGCCAATGAATATTAAAACTTTGAAGAGCATCACTCGAGCAAACAGAGTTAAAAAAAGATTCATAATTGTCACTGTTATCATTTGTTAGGACATATTTCTTTCCGATATCATTAGTTTTCATTTTACTAGTATTGACACTATCAACATCTATTAAAATAGTTTCTAGTGTAGATATTTTAATTTGTGTTTCCTTTTTATTACCCATAATAATGAAAATATCATCAGTGCTTGATGAGTTTTCAACAAATTGTTTGAGTGCATAGTGATTGATAACTCTACAAGTGAGTTCACGTGATATATAAATGGAGGAATCAAAAGTCTGTTTCCAAATAAAACAATTTTTTTCTTTCTCTATTAGATGCATAGGATTTACTTTATTTGTACACAAATAATTGCAGCATATTTCCTTAAAAGCCTTTCTGGAAATTTTGTCATTCTGTATGTACTGGAATTGATTGTTACTAGAGGAATATTTTGATTTCATTATGTGATTTTTTTCTTCAAAGGACATAATTTTGCAAATCTCTTCCTCTGTTACTCCTTTGAAAACAAAAATATCTTTTGGATTGTTATGAACACTGTTTCTTAGCTGTTCTTCATTAATGATTAAGCAGGGGAAATAGTACATGGATTCAAGATCACTAAGGCAAGGTGGTTTAATTCCCACACTGTCCTCTTCTGGAACTTCTTCAATAAGTTTAGATAACATTTCAGCACCGAATATGTGTCTGCTGTCTGGTAGAGAGCTTAATTTTACAGACTTTCCCTGAAATTTAATAGAGCTGTTCGCCAAAATATGTTGTTGTGATTCTTCACTGAGATCAATTAAACTGTTATTTTCATCATTTTGAAGTTGAACTGTATCTGGACATAAATTTAAATATGACGTTTCTTGGTTTTCACCAATCATTATAACTTTTTTCTTGCTTTCACTGACAAGAACATGAATAATACTTCTCCAAAATGCTTGCAAACTATCCACTTTGATGTGTTGGTTCTCTATGACCAACAAATCAATTAATTTTGATTTGAACACTTCTAATACTCTTTGTTGCAAATCACTTGAGTTCAAATTGTCTGATCTTAGAAATAAAAAACTATCCTGTTTTTCATATTTTGAAGAATTAGTGAAATATTGATGCAATTTTATACAGCTCAGTTTATTTTGAGATGTAATAATTTTTAAAATTTGTTTAGATGGGTCATTTAAAAACACTTGTACCCCCTGCTGTTCAACAGCTTCTTGTTTAAATTGTATCTTTCTCGTAACAATAATATTTCGGTACTTTACAGTTCTCAAACTAAGAGAGGCTCGATAAACTAATTGTTTAATTTCACTGATTGACTGCCTTACTCCATCAGAATTTGAAATAACTTTATTTGAACATTTCGGGTTCAGCGTTTCACTTAATTCCTTTTCAAACATGTCTACATATTTTTTATCAGGGAGAAATTCAAGCTCTTCTGCCAGTTTACCTTTAACGTAATTACTTAGAAATGCCTCTCCGTAATTAGGAGCAAATATTAATTTGTCCATAAACTCTGTAATTTCTCTGTCAATGGAAACCAAACTTTCTGCTGGGAGAGGTTTTGTATTTTCAGTAGTTATGAGGTTACTGCTGCTATTAGGCAAAGTAAATTTTCTGTAGCCTTTAACATAGTCCCAGAACAATTTTGGAGTAAGTAAATGCTTTTTGCACGTTTCAAACTTTTTACCAGTTTCTGGATTTGTACCTTTAATATTTAATTTATAATTGTGAAGGTCTGCTACTGACAGCTGTTCAAGTGCATTTATAAAGTAAGATTTAAATAATTTAATGCTTGCATGTGCTAAATTTTCATCATCATCATTAATCCAGAACACAAAAGAACCATTTTCTTCAATGATTAAATAACCAGAAAGTTTATAAATATTTTCCTTGATGATTCCCTTTCCGCGTATTACAACAGTTTTTCCTTTTGATTTCTTAATTAGTAAGGCAAGTTCTTTAGCAAATTCTTTAGGATTAATTATTTTATTATTGGCAGAAAGATTCCTTTTTTTTCTTTTTTCAAAAGCTTCTTTATAAAAAGAATTTCTCAAGTTTTGTAATTGTTGAGTTAAGTTTTTACCTGTAATAAAATTGTCAGAAAATTGGTTTTCTTGATTCACAATATTAGTGAGTAATGTATACTCATACTGTTGTAAATTATTTGCTAGTTCAAATTTCTTATCGTCATGCACACAGTCTGCTAATGTTTTAGCTATCTTAATTAAATCGTATGTACCTTCTAAAGTTTGATGTATTTCTTTAAAAAGTGGGCTGTTCAAATCTAGTCTCCAAATAAATGGGTTTTCTGATTTTGTAGAGGGGTATCTTCTTTCTGCATTAAATATGCTTAATATCTGATTGTTATTTTCAACCTGTTTAAAATTTTGTTTCAGTTCATAGTGCATATCAATATTTGTAGCTATTATTAGGTTATCTATTATATTATCATATGGTAAATTCTTTTTAATTACATCACGGTATGAAATAAAATACTTCCATAGTGCAAAAGGATTCCGTTGACCTTGATGGATTTGGGGGAGAATCAACTCTTTGATTTTTATTTTTCTACCTTTTCGTTTGCAATGTTTTGCTTGCAAAAAGTTATGCCTGACCACTTTATCATCTTTTATTGACCACACAATGTCATCGAACTTTCCAGCAGCATTCTCTTCTGATCGGAATGTAAAGTTTTCGCTATTGTGCATTAGAGATTGCAATGCTACATGCATCAACCAGTGCACTTGATAAGTAATTCCATGATAAACCTTTTTTAGTCCCGTATCGATATTTTTACTAGCTCCCAGGGCATATTGATAGTTTTCCACTACGTTTTCTGTATCCATGGGACTAAATCTAGTCAATAATGTTCACCAGCTTACCTGCATGATTTTACACAGCTTTAAAGATCGCAAGTATCGTACTTAGGGCGTGTCCTGCCTGAGCTACTACAACTGGCGGCGGCGCCAAGCGATAGCTTGCGTCAACTTGAAGCGATGATTTGCGATGCCGCGCGACAGAGCATGGGGTGTTCAGCGTAGGCTAAGGAACCTGCGACAGCGTCACCCGCTGCGCCGCGGCGCACCGTGTGGAAACATAATCCCATTTACTGCTATAGGAACACTATATAACTCAACACATACAATTGTTATTAACATCTAATGATTCAAGTTATTGAAGTTAATCAGTCAACTACTGTAGAATTATTCACTCTAACTGCAAGTTAGTACTTGCTATTGTATCATAATCTGCTAATGTAATGTATTCATGTAATCTTCATGTAATGTAGTGTTAATGTTATTTTTAATTTGGTAATGAGACTAGTTCAAAAATTTAAATTACTTTAATGCTTATTGTGACCATTTATATGCTTTATTAATCATGTAATTCATAAAGTAATCTATTTTAATTATTACTGTAAGTTATGCAATTAAATTTAATGATTTTAATTTAATTGAATTTAACTTAAATTAATTTAATTGTTTATATTAATCAAATTTATATCTTTTAACTTATAATTTGTCAAGATAATGTAAACTTATTAAACTATTACTGTAAGTGAATGTTGTTAAAAATGTAACTACCTTAATGAAATTTTAAATAATTTCTAAACAGACTTCGCTTGATACTTTCTGTAAGTCTATAAGCAATGTATTTATTATTATTATTATTATTATTATTATTATTATTATTATTATTATTATTATTATTGTGATGTAGCTACTACGAAATATAATTAGCAACTGACAAATTCAATGAAAACAATATAATTTAATACAGAAATAAATACACTTATTTGTTATTTTCAGTGCATCCGCCACTGCTTTCACAATTTACCACTCACAAATCTATAGTGGTATTCAATTTCTTGCCTCACAATTCCCTTTTATTTTTTACGTCTTCAATTAAACTTTATATTATGTCACTATTAGGCATCTTTGAAACGGGAAATTGAAGGCCAAAAACAGAGAAACAGCGCCCGACATCAAAAAGCGGCAACAAGTGGCGACAATATTAAACAACGCTCGAATCTCGGACGCCGCCGCTTGTAGCGCGCTGTAAGCTACTGAGTGTCTGAAATTTGTCGCGTGTGGCTGTCGCAAGATGTATCTCATGCAGGGTGAGACCGGATACTGGTGAGGTGTTCTGTACCGTAAGAAAATTGTTCAAATTTAGCGTAATTATTTTATGTTTAAAAGAAGCAAAAGGCTAGATTTTCATGTACACACTAAGAATAAAATTAGATATCTTTACGCTATATCCGGTCTCATTAAGCATTACGCCGCACGAATCATAAATAAGGAACTTTCCCGCCTAGGGACGTTCCAATTCTACCGATCCGATTTCGGAATCGATTCCTATGGAATCGGTATTAAATTCCTTCGCTTCCGATTCTTAATGGAATCAGGCTGGAATCGAATCAAATTAATATCTTCATGTATTAAAAAAAATGCATATTCTTGCCCTATTGTTGTTTTTCAAGTTTTTGTCATTTGCCTTTATTATTAATGTAGTTATTCATTTTTAATTTTATAGAAGTCCAGTTGGGTTTGAATTCTACATCCCACGTTGTGTTTCTTTGAATTCGTTACAATTTCGTTTAATTGACTGGTCATATAATTGGATTGAAATAATGCCTCATTTTACGTGGCGAGACTCAGGCCATGAGGCCTGCTCTTCCGTCTGACCACACAAATTTCGCTAAGCTCCTTTGACGTAGCAGAGAAAGGAGATATTTCTTGGGCGAGAAACAGGCGATTTGAATTTAACTCAGAGGCGTCATTTAGGCTTGAGGATCTTTTACATGCAAGAAAATCTAACATGGGACAACCGGCTTTACTTCCCCTCCGAAGGAAGGCGTACGAAGGATTTTTTCGCTTCGATCGGGTTTGAACCCGCCAACTTGGGTACAACAGTCCGATACGCTAACCGTTACACCATCGCCGCGCGTATAATGTATTACATTTTTCATTTATGTTCTATTAATATATTTTTTCATTGATACATACTATTATATTATTTCAGTTGTATTATTTGATTAATTTTTTATATCAAATACATATTTTTCGGTCACGTAGTTAATTATTACTATTATTTTATTATTAAAATTCAAATAATTAACACGTGGTTATGTTTTATTAAATAGTAATTGCTCGTTTCCGGTATTGATACCTACGTTGAACTACGTTGTTCTTAGGAAATCGATTCTTCCGATTCGATTCTAGAATTGACTTCAATTAGTCATCACAAATTTAATTTCTATTACTAATGATTTACAATTTAATTTAATCACAACTTCGTGAATTGCTGTATCACTTACATACAATAGTACACGCTTCTGAACTTTTAAGATAATTTGAATACAAAACATTCAGGAAATGAAACCTCTCATTTTATGTCTCCCCGCCGAGGTGGAATCTGCCCATGTCCTGACGGGGGGGACGCAGGGAGGGCTCTCAAGTATTCGTTTCTTTCACCAGTCATCTTTATCTTTCCCACCGTTCATTCTCGTGATATAATGGGTCATATGAATAAAAATGAACACTTGCTCAGGAGTACTTGCTCCGGAGCAAAGTGAGTCTACTTCGCGGCACTGAGCAGAAGCTCCATTTCATATGAATAAAAACTTCGTATGTCTCCGAAGAACTTACTCATGTCCCCGAGCATTTGATCGTCGTGAACAAGTGATAGTACAGGCTAAGAGTTTAAAAAAATTGGTTTCTTGAGCAACAAAGAGGTTACATACGTTACGCGTTTTGCGCACTTTTGTGCGGAATAAAGAGCAATGTTTTGTGGTCTCGTTCTTTAAATTCGAATATGAATAGCAGTAACGGAGAACAGGCGCCAGAGGCCCAGCTAGTTTTTGCCGCAATGCTAAGCGAATATAAAATTATTTTTGAAAAGAGCCAGCTTTCGGAGGTACGCTGTGGCCGAAACGAAACATTTCAAAGTTTGAAAAAACAGTACCCCGAAAAATTCCAAATAGAAAAGAGCGATGGTCAATTAACATAGAAGACATGCAATATGAAAACGCACCTGAAATCAAACGCCGATAAAAATCGTATCAAACATATTGTCCTTTTCGAATGAGCAAAGATTCTGATATATAGTAGCGTAGGCTTTCACGGCCGGAGTCAATAGTGTGGCGTTATATCAGTCGCCTTGTACAAACGTACCAAATATCAGCCACGTGCATTTCATGCTCATGGACAGCGCTGGCGAAAGAGACGCTGGGCAAACCTAGGGAGCGGAAGGGAAGGGGTGCCGTGTCGTGGGTGGTTACTTGGGAACCCCGTAGGCAGGCTAGCAGCGGAAACGCGTCGGCGGAGACAGCGAGATGACGCAGTTCCGTCAGCCGGCCCGGAAGGTAATATAAACGGACCGGACCTAAACTCCTTCTTCCGATTCTTGGGCGCGTCGGTAGGAAGTCGTGTGGGTTGTGTGCGGCGCTGCATTTTAATGCATCGGCTACTGAGGCAGGGAACTGAAGCCGGCGTGCTACGTTGAGACGGGAGGTGCGGCATACTGGCTTGTATGCTCACGTAGGCTACTGGTGCATCACACCGCATATGATATCTAATTATCAGGCCAGCGGTGGTGGTAACCAGGCAACATTCCTTCTAGTAACGGGTCAATATTGTTTGTTGTAATTATTGTACATAGTGTTGGAGTGTTTTAATTTTGGCAGCGAGATACTGAGCGTGCGCATGCCAGCAAAGGCCGCTGTCAAGTAGCACGCCCAAATATCTCGCTTCGCTCCGCCGTGGTAGATGCGTGCCAGCCAAGCTCACCGTTTCATTGGGGTTAGCCCCCTTACGAGTGAAGTTGACGGCGACGCATTTCTCGAGGTTGAGAGCGAGGCGTTTCCGACTTAGCCATTCAGGAAAGGCGGCGAGACTATCACTTAAGTATTCAACTGACTGCCTTCCGTTCGCCGATTTCGCGTAGTACGCGAAATCATCCGCGAACACCAGGAGCCCGCAGCTTTGAATACCAGTTCTTGTTTCAGCAGGAAGCGGCGCGTCATTCACGTATAAGCCGAAGAGGGTAGGAGAAATAACACTCCCGAGGCACGCCTGTCTCTGCTCGTCTGAGGGACGAGTATACGTTATTAACGCGCACTTTGAACTGCCTGTCAGAGAGAAAACTCGCGATCAGTGTGACATAGCAATCACTAACTCCCGCCTCCGCGAGACACTCGAGAAATCCCGCATGCCACACAGAGTCGAAAGCCGATCGCATATCCAGAAAGACCACTGGCAGGTTCTGCCGTCTTTCGAGGGCGAGGCCGATCTCTGTGCAAAGCCGCGTAAGCTGCTGCGCGGAGCTGTGACCAGCTCGAAAGCCAAATTGTTCATCTCTGAGAAGATGTTGACACTGTATTTTGTTTGCTATTAAATGTTGACCAGGATAGCCTCATAAAACGCTTCCTAGGATGAGAGTAGACTAATAGGTCTATTAGCTGCTACTCGGGGAATAGTTTTTATTTTTGCCCTCTGCAAGGTTTTTGGGTATTTCAGTGCAATGAGTGCATAACGCATTCTCGCCTTGGGAATACATAACGAATGCCAGGCACCATTCAGAGAGCTTCGAGTAAAAACTCGACTCCGCGCCCCGTCCCCCCACAGAGCGCGCAACTGGCTGCGCGAGGACGCGGTCGAGCCGACTCTGTGCCTTCCTCGCATTGACGGTGTTTTTAAGCTCAGCGTCGAAGCTCCTCTCCCGTCACTTTGGCGTGCCGAGGTGAGAGAGGGCAACGGGGCGCAATGGTATTTGCGTGCTGACTGCACCGCGCGCACCGGCGTACCACCTAACAGAGGTGCGGACATGCAGCGAGACGGGGCGC